GGTGGGTAGGTGTAGCTGTGGAACAAGTTCCCCGAGTGCTTCGATTTTTCAGTGGAGCAGGAAGAATGACAGAGAAGAAAGAGACGGACTAGGGAAAACGGAGGGCAGCCAAAGCAGAACACCGAGCGCATGTCTGAGGTTTGGAATCGGGACAAACAGGCAAGGTTTTTCTGCTTGTGACTCTGTGGACAACAGTGGCAATTCATAAATTTGCTTTTCCCCCCAGATGTGTTTGAATCATTTATGGATCAAAGTTTTAGTTCAAATTTTCCTATATGTATTTTCACTTTGTATCAATTATAAAAGAATGTCAAAAAGCCCTTTAATGAAAACCACCAAATCAATTCTTATGGGCCTGAGTTTACCTTGTTTCAGTGAAAACTCAAATCTTATTCAAAGGTGTTATAGTCCATTTGTGACTACTTCTGATAATAATGTTTACTTGGTATCTTTCAGCATACCTGATTGATAAAGTCAAACTCAAAGGCTATTATGCATTCAAACTGACTGAAGAAAAATCTAAACCCAGATTTGGACTCTTCACATCTGACTTCAAACCTAAATCCTCAATTCAGCTTTACAACAAAGTGATCAGCAACAGTGGCTTCCCTTCTGATGGCAGTAGTCCCGGATGCAGTCGGGCTCAAAGAAACACAGAGTGTACTGTCTGCTTACTTCTTGTGCAGAAGAAACCTCTGATATTCTTTGGTTGTTGCTTCTTCTCCACCCTGGTTCTACTTTCATCAATCACCATTTTTCATAGGCGAAAGAGAAGAAAATTTTGGAAAGCCAAGAACTTACAACACATACCATTAAAAAGAGTTCTTAGCTAAACAGATCTTAGTTTTGTCTGCATAATATGAAGTTTAAAAAATCACTCCAGTTCCATATACTGGCAACTTGCAGAAGATATACCTGTATTGTAAAAAAAAAATTTTTTGAGAAATCAGTGGTAGCCAATGACAATCAGTGTCTCCACTGTGTGTTTCAAATGAATTTTCCATTACATGTGTTCATGTCAGTGAATTAGGTTCTTGAATCCTAAGATAAAGGCTTTGCCTAAATGGGCCATTTTCAATCTTTTTTATTTCGTGGCACACAAACTAATTACTAAAATTCTGCCACATGCTAAAATTAATTGTTGCTGCTCTGACGAAACATTAGGCATAATTTTGATTTATCCACGCCAAATTATTGTTGTGTTGGCTGTTTTTGACAATCTAAGGAAAAAAAGAGGTCAGTGCCTAACTAAATAATCAGGTATCGCACATCTTAAAAATTCTTGTGGCATACTGGGTGAAATTCACTGGCTAGAAAATAAGCTATTAGGATTTTCTGATACATTGCTTCATGAAATATAAGCTACTTTCCATCATTCTTTTCTTTTATAAATACCAATAGCTACTTGTCATAAAAAATATTTTGAAAAAGTGCAACTTTGTTTCATAGCAAAGATTTAAAACTCAACACTGGAGTATCGTCACTTGTAATAAGGTGTTTCCCCCTTTATGTCAGGGTGGTTCTCAAATGGGAAGAAAACACACAACAGGGTAGAGCTTGTCTGTAGCCAGTTACACAGCAAAGACTCTAAAAGCACATCCACCCCTTAGTTTTTCTCAATAGAAATAAAAATTGTCAAGCATCTATAAAACACCTAATTTTGTGAGGTCTCTCCTTTTACCAAATAACTAAAGAAAACATGAAACTCCCTAACTTATCTCATGGGCAGATCAGACACGAAGACCAAGGACAGCTAGACGCAAATGCCTGTGAAGACAGACAGGGAAGTCACTCAACCCCACCATATAGTGACTTTCTGTTTAGACAAGGTGACATCACTCTTCCTCACTTGATTTTTGTGAGGTGACAAAAACCCTATCTAGCATACTTAGGAAAGCTAAACATTTTAAACATGTAGTTTTACTATCAGGTCATCAGACAAAGGGCCATGTCTGCCCAGGAGCTCCACTGTTCTGAAGCCACAGGTGTGTACGGGCCTCTCAAGGGGCAAAACGCAGCCACATCCGGACCTAGCAACCGTGACTCTCCAGATGCCATTCAGAATACGCTGAACCTAAACATCAGCACTTTTTATATTGCAGCTGGAGTTAGGTAAATTCTTAAATCTGAACTTGGAGTTTGAACTTTCTTGAACTCCATGCTTAAGATTGGTTCAGTGTATTCTAATTGTTGGAGAAACAAGTCTTGCACGCAAACCCACTTATACCCATTTTCTTTCCCGAAGTTAGTCAACTTAACCACAGCAGCTGGTCACTAGCCAGCCACCCTCTACAGGCATTTAGACTTTAACAACTAAAAGAAAAGCTTTTTAGTTCAAAAACTTGTTAGGAAACTACTCTAAATTAAGGCAATCGTGGTTGTTTTCCAAGTCCACCTCTGTAAGAAGTCAAATTACCTACATGAGATTCTAATTGATAATTTTAAGTTTCAAAGATACTGTAAAGAAATAACACAACTGGTCAGTTCAAGTAAATGCAAAAGGAATGAGAAATCCGTTTGCTACTTGGCCGGCCAAATTGAGAGTAAATTTTGGCTGTTCCTTTCAGTCTATCCTCCTCTTTGCAACCAGTGCACCCAGCTCCCCCAACCTTGGCTGTTTTTAGTTTATGCAAGGAATTTTGTATTTTCTTATCAAACTAAGTGGGCCTTAGGCTACACACAATTTTCACTGGTCATTGGTTTTAAAATACAGTAACTATATGGAAAGAGGCATTTAAGCAAATCACTTGGCTCATTTTGTTTTTTTCTCTTTGTGCTGACATGGACTCATTCTGATCCCAAGCTGGGTTCTGAAAAAGAAATGCAGTCAGCCATAGGGAATAACAAAGATTTAGAACTAAATTTAGGTTTTGCTTTTTCGGTCTCTACCTCGTGCTTTATTTTCTCATATTCATTGTTTACAAGTCCATTAACCATCACTATCTTTAAAATATCTTTAGTTAGAGCCTAAAGACTTAATGTCCTTTTTCAAACTTGTTGCTTTCCCATAAACTCTCCCAAGTAGTAGCCCTAAACCCAATGCTTATAATCTTCCCTTCCTGCCACTTGGGAATTATTTCATGTATTAAACATAACCATCTTTCACTAGTAAGTCTTTGATAAATGTGTATGGAAATATCACAACTGTAGTATTTAAAGAGCTTCAGGAAAATGAGGTCGGTATATTGTTTAATTTCCAATGTAATTTATTTCAAATAAACAATTTAGTCAATTTTAAGAACTGTGGAGCATGAATGGGTCGGTGTTAACTGGGTGCTGCTCCAACACTGCTGCCCTCCATCCTGCCAAGCCCCAGCTCGATTAACACAGCTTGTTTTCTCATAAAACGCACACTCCTACTCATCGAAGCTGGGAAAATAGCACACAAGTGTTTATTCGTAACAGGCACAGAAGACATGGAAGCCCTCCCTGCGGAGATGCAGACTTCTCACTTACCAATCAAGTCATTACATGGAAATCTCCTTAGCTACATACAACCAACCCCCCAGTGGTCATATCCTGCGAAGCTCTCACCCAGAGGGCCAGTCCCCGCCGCCCCCCACCCCCGCTCTTGAAGAAATCATTTACTCCCACAGCTTCTGCTATGTAGATATGAGTCTATATACTCACCCTCTCCACGTCTCTAGCCCTCTGTACTACTGTCACTTGAAAGTTCCCTTCTACCTGCAGCTCTGAAATCCTGTCAAAACCTTCCAAAACATCTCCTTTCCAATCCCACTGCTATTACTGTCTTGAGTCTTTACAACCTGAACCTCCCGGGCAATCTGGGTACATCCATTTGGCAAATAGCTACGTGCCACACACTGTTCCAGGTATTTAAAATATTTTTAAAAATATCCACCTGTGGACACCCCCACCCCTGCAACCCATGAAGTTTACATTCAAGCATCAAAAAAAGCATACAATCATTCCACGACAAAGTAAACTGTAAATATTGCACCATAAATGCTATGAACACTAACACATGAAACAGGCCAAGGGTGTGCTAGGCTGGGGGTGAGGAGTGAGCACAACCGGTGGTCAGGATGGGCTTTCCTGAAACTTGAAGGTAACTTGTCAGGCCAAAGTTCCAAGGGGAAAGACAACTTGAAGGTTTAGGGCAGCAATATCCATGAAAAGTCAGTTCAGAGGCTATTATACTAATTCAGGTAAAATACACAGGGATTTGTTTCATACACAGGGATTTGTTTCATTTCTACATTATGAAAAATTTTAAAACTTTATGTAAGAAGGAAAAGTACAACGAATCCCCATTCAGCCTCCACAAATTATCAACTTAGAAATAACAAGTTTCACTTAAAACCCCATCCAATGCCTAATCCAAACCCACCTCAAATATTTCAAAGCAAATCTTAGATTTATCATTTCAGCCACTTCTTAAACACTTAACCACTGTAATCATCAAACCAAAGATTATTTTGTATTTGAAGTGTGCCACATGAAATGAAATATGGAAGGGTTATCAGCTTTTTAAAACACCAAGGACTGGGTGATGGCAGCGCATGGCTGACGCAGGACAAGAGGGTCCATAACACAGAGAGGACCCCGGACCTCAACAACAATGTTTATCATAAATACAGATCAACTGCACTTGTACCAACCAAAGTCAGGTTTGTGTGTTTATTGTGCCTATAAATATTTTTTAGGCTGTATCACTTTGTTTCACACCCCAGCTGCTTTTTCGTATTAGGTTACTAGTAAACAGACACATAATTCAGACACACCTACCTCACAAATATTCAAATCCACACCTCTGCAAAATTAGATATCTTCAGGGCACCCTCCCCCGAATTCTGTACCCAATGACTAGCACCTATATAGTGTAGCCTGTCACTGGTGCTATATTCTTCTTGCCTGAGATACCCTTAATATACCTTCAAAAAAGAAGTCACTTCTCCCGTGAAATCTTACTAGAAACTTAACCGTTTGCATGCCAAATAACTGGAAAGAATTATCAACTTAAGAAAAAAAGTCCCAAATCAATACACAGCTTTTATTTCATCTTTGTACTCCTTACACAAACAAATGTAAGGAACATCACAAGTAACTGTGAGGAATCATTCGGCATCTTGCTGTTTCTATAGCTGGACAACTGTAAAAAGAAATAAAAACATCTATAAATCTCCATCAAAAGGCTTGCCCAGAAATGTCCTACCATAAAACATACTTAGATTCGTATTTAAAATGTGTGCACGTCCATTTCTTTTTCTGCCAAATTCACTGTTTTGGAATGCAATTCTTCATTTTCTGCCATTAGGACAGCTTAAGTCTTAGTAAAGTAAGATCCCCCCAACCAAATAAAGTAGTAATAAAATTTAGACACTACAAGAACCTACCTTAGATCTTATTCATCAGGCTGCTGAACTGTTCCTTTTTCAGAAACATAGATACCATCCAAAAATTTCCTGATATCCTTGTTTTTAACTGTTGTGGCTTGCTGAATTAAAGCAGCTATAAGAAATAAAACAATTACTTTACCAGCCAAATCCATCTTAAAACCTGACTATGTTGGGGAAATCTTTTAATTTCCATTAATTAAAAGGGCTCACCAAATGAACAGAATACCACATGTCCAACTACAATATTTAGACAAAATTTTATAGGCATAATAAACATACAAACCTGAATTTGATACAAGTTCAATGTCATTTCCTTCAAGAATCAACTCATCTTTCTGGGCCTGAGATACTGAACAAGCAACACCTAAAAGAAGAGAAGGTATTTGCATAGTGTCAACATAATATCAGATCTGCAGAGGAAATGTTTAATTTAAAAATATGTAAATCAAGCCCTGGCCAGTGTGGCTCAGCTGGCTGGCCATGAGTCCACAAATTGAAAGGTTGCAGATTCAGTTCCTGGTAGGGGTATGTACAAGAGGCAACCAATCAATGTTTCTCTCACATACTGATGTTTTTCTCCCTCCCTTCCTCTCCTCTCTGGAATCAATAAAAAGAAAAATAAATTCTTAAAAATATTTAAATCAAGTGGCAACTTATTCCATTAAAAATTCTACAGACAAAATAAAGCTTCTTGAGAGCAGTTTTGGTTTTACAGTTGATTTATCTGAGCCAAAATCTTGTTTGTATTCCTGCTTGAATCTCTCCCCGAGTAGTTAGATGCTGTGATTCAACTAAGAAGCATGAGAAGATGGTATTCAGCTAATGCATCTTAGCTGCATAAAGCTTGCATCGAGTTTTATTTCTACTGCATACAGGCTTACGGTCGTGAGTAAACAGTTTATTACTGAAGAGTCATTAAATTGGTACTAAAATCCCTTCTTCCCAACCCCGATGACACAAAAAAGCATTGAGAACACCAAGCTTCAAAACTTTCTGATGCTTCGGTTTTACCACTGCTCTAAGTGCATTTCAGTTTTGACTCTTTTAATGAGATGTTCCCAATTTTACAGATAAGTAAAATGAACTACACAGAAGTAATTTGCCCAGTAAATTTATTTGCCCATAGAGGTTGATACTGAGACGTGAGAACTGAACCTAGGCAGTCTATGCTGTTAACCACTACTCAAATGGTCTTTTAGGATTTCAGTTTACAGAGCTAGGTAAACACAGCTACTACGCCCTGCAAACTATTCCAATGTAAAAGCTTTCAAGAACTGCAATCGATGTAAGTATGATATAAAGCCTTAATTAGCAGTTATTAAATATAACCAAACAATTCTGAAATAAATGTGGTTTTATTTATAGCTACCCAAACACTAGTCTTTACAACTCGAAAAGAAAAAATGTGAACCATATCTGAGGGTATGCACATACCTGACCTCATCCGAACCCTGCGGATATATTTTTCGCCCAAGAAATTTCTGATTTCAACAAGAGAACCATTCTCCTGAATAACAACGTTGATGGGGAAGTGAGCGTACACAGACCTCATCTTGTAACGGAAGCCCTACATTAAGCAAACAATTAGCAATGCTTAGAAATCTGAAAGACAGAAATCCAATTTTTAAATTTTGTAAGATACTTATGTCATACTTAAAATTTTAAATCAACAATCCTCGCAGAGCACTCATTGTCAAGGTTTTACAATTGTCACCTGAATCAAGTCTTACGACACTTTTATACACAAACATGTTTCACTGTCCCCTCACTGGGCTGTAAAGCTCCATAAGAAACCACTATTTTTAAAAACTTTTTCTTCAATTAGTTTAGTCTCAATATTAATTTGTGTTGATCCAGGTGTGCAGCATAGTGGTCAGACAATCACATGCTTTAGAGTGGTCCCCCTGTATTTCCAGGACCCACCTGGCCCCACAGTTATTACAATATTATTGACCATATTAAGGAAGCATTATTTTACTACTTCCTATCCCCACAGTAGTAGATGTTAGCTCCTGTTCATGAGAACCTCGAAGTCAGTTGCCCTGGCATTAGACTAACGGTTACTGAGTTACTAAGGCAAGTCAGATGGCAAGAACTGAGGCTGTCAAGACAGGCCCCCGCCCTCAGGAACTGAGCTTGGGAGCAAGGGGAAACGTGACAAGATGGGCTTATGATGGTGTTAAGTGCATGTTGCCATTACCAGGTGTACTCTAGGACTGAGTTTTAATGGAAAAAAAATAGCATTTCAGCAAAGGCAGAAGCATAAATTTTATTTTAAAAGCTGGGGAAGGGGGTTTGGAGAGAGAAAACTGACATCAAGTATGCTTTTAGGAAAATGAACAAGGAGCTCAGACACTATACCTATCTTTTTCTGCCACTACAAGGGGCCTTGGTGGTGAGATGCATACCAACAAGAAATCAAAACCTACCTTATGTGTTAGATTTTCTATTAAAAAACCACAACCTTGAGGTCTGAATCTAATTTTGTGTGAAAAACACCATTGGCCTACTAACACCATCTGGTCTTTACTTGTGTGGATCACTCATTCTTAGACACCCAAGGATGCCTATCACACACACACTCGATAAGATCACCTTTTCCAGATTTAGAACTCAAGACCCTCAATAAATTACATGCACAATCTATTCTCTCCAGTAATTTATGCTGGAAAAAACCAGAAACCTCCCCTTCCCGAAGTTGTCCAGTCAGCCTGCTTACCAGTGTAACACCCTTGATCATGTTCTGTACGTGACTGCAGATCGTGCGCACAGTGGCCAGCTCCTTTCTATTTCCCCACCATTTGTCAACCCGGAGCTGTAACAGAACAAACGCTCTAGCAGATTCTTTCCAGTAACAAGTAGGCTTCTTAGAAAACAGTCCATTTATCCATAGAATGACTCTAGATTCTAACATTAGGCCTAATTAAAGCATATGCCTTTCAACTGTAAAGATGAAACCACATGCAAGGCCCTCAATAATTAAGAAACGTTACTACTATTCATCACAGGTACACCATTGCACAAAGGAACCACAACCCAGAAACACCCATTGTACCAAGTTGCATCAAACTTCCCTTTTAGAAAACTAAAATGCTAGGTTCAATAAAAATAAAGCCTACAGCATGGCTCAAGAATCTTACAGAACAATCACGAGTAAAATAAACCTAACCTGAAGAGTATTAAACCCTACCATTAATGACTACTAGCACAGAGCTTTATACTTCCCAATCCATTGGTTCTCCAACTTCGCCACGACACCAACACGGAAACTTGGCACAATTCTGGACACCAAATTTTAAGCTAAAACATTAAATCTCAATTCTGCCATTTTTAGAGCAGCCAAATGTGATGGTATTAAATCACACCTTCCAAACAAGCAACTAAGGGTTAAAAAAAAAAGCCCAATCCCAACTCACCCTCTTCTTTTTCTTTCCAAGAAGACTGAGTTCTACGTTGATGTGGTTGAAGTCCCTTCGCAGAGTACCTCTGGGGCCCTTCACAATAACTGTGCGCCCCTTCAGAGTGATGTCGACTAGGAGAGAGCACACTGGTAAGGCCTGGGAACGAGGTGCAGAGCGCGCAGTACAAACGTAAGAAAAAAGCAAACATCTAGTCTCCTACCATTCTCGGGGATGTCGACAGTCTGATTGCTGAGAATGGTCTTCATCCTACAACACAAACACTTGGGGTAAGATCGGGGCCGGACCTACAGTGACCGAACTACCCTATCAGAGTTCCACTCCTATAGGAGACCGGCAGGCAAACATCCCAGCGAGGTCACGGGTGGACCAACACGAAGACGGCTTCAGCTGCTTCCTGGCCTGCCAGGAGCAACTCCTAAGCGGCTGTTTCGAGGCCCAGCGCCACCCTGGGAACCCTTATCTGGGAGGCGCCATCAGGGGCGGGAGTAGGCCAAAAAGCCCGGGACAGAGCTCGAATCTCAGTGCCGCCGGATCCACCTGGGGCCTAACCGCTCCGAGGAACAACCAAGATAAAGCCTCCGCGCGCCAGATCGGCACCACTGGTTTTCCCCGCACTGATGGCTGCAGATTCCTAGACCCCACGGACTTCAGACATAACCTCACCTCGCAGTAGAAGTGGCAAAGAGAGGGCGTCTTTCGTCATCACGTTCTTGTAGCCGTAAGTGCCTTGCGTATGATGTCATGAGCACGCGACGCCAGTAGACTAAAACAACCAATCGCGAAGCAGCTTATAGTTCTATCGGGTCAAAGGTGGTTTCGGTACCCGTCATAAATCGCGAGACGGTTTGTCGCCCTGTCTATTCTTGGGAATTAGACCCTTACACGCTGTTGGAAAATAAGAGGGAGATGTCTCTACGCTGCGGGATTGTCGTCCGCACTGTGAAGCCCCGAGTGAGTGGTGGGATTTCAGGGTGCGGGCGAGAGGTGAGGGATTCCGAGCTGTTGAGTGCACCCAGTTTAATAAAGCCAGAACTTACTGAGCATTTACTTCTACCGAGACACTGTTCTAAAGTTTTTTCATGTAGTATCATGTAATTCTCCCGACATCCCTGTGTAGTAAAGTCTCTAGTACTGGTTTGTTTGTAGGTCCTCTGGCCAGCGCCGAGAGCTTTTCTGTTTACCAGTGATCTGTACCCTGCAAATCACTGATAAACAGCTTTGTAGGAGCACCGGGTCGAGCACTCCATTACTATTTTGTGTTGGATTCTTAATCTGTACCAGACGCACTCTGCACGCTGAGAACACACACCTGTGCCCAAAGTTTTCCCGGAGACAAGGGCAAGTGCTGTAGCAATCGCCCTTGTGCAGCACCAGTAGCAGAGGCTCGTTTTGAGTCATAGAAGGTTCTTTTGCGTTAGGTGTACTGACTCATGAATATTACAGTGTTTGGGCTATCTTGTCGCGTTTGTGTTTAGATCTAGAGGCCAATGGTTTCTTTTTTTTTTTTTTTAAAGATTTTATTTGTTTATCTTTAGGGGGAAGGGAAGGAGAGAGGGAGAGAAACATCAATGTATGGTTGCCTTTGTGCATCCCCTGCTGGGAACTGCCTGAGGGTGGTCAGTGTCCTGTGAGGGCTTCTGGTCTATGGTCAACAAATGTACAGTTGACTCCTGAACAACGTGGATCTGAACTGCAGAGGTCCTCTTACAGGGGCCTTTTTTTCAATAAGTACCTGTATTGTTTTCGATCTGCGTTTGCGAGTGGCTATAGGAAGGTAGGATTGTATGCGTCGCTCCAGGCCATTTTATATAGGGGACTGAGTATCCTCGGATTTTGGTACTCACAGGGGGAATGAGGATAGTGGGCTTAATTAAATAGGTTAAAATTATTTTAAACCTCACTAAATAAATGTCAAAATGAACTCTTTCTTTAGGTATTTGGAAAATATTTATGCAGTCCAGTCAGAGCAGTTAGTTCCTTGCCAGATAAAAAAAAGGAATTTTTACAGAATGGACCAGACCTTCAAGATTTTGTATCTGGTGAGCTTGCAGACAAGAGCACCTGGGATGAATATAAAGGAAACTTAAAACGCCAAAAAGGAGAAAGGTAATTGAAATTTTGAGATAATTTTAATGTCCCATTCCTTCATTGTGTGTTATTTTCAGATATAACCAAGCCCCTAGAGTGTATTTGTAATCAGACTTGTTAAACTTAGCTTAAACTCATTAGAAAAAAGTAATAGCAGACATAGGTAAGTAGCTGAAATAGGTGGAGTCCTTTTCTCTGTGCCCATCGTCAGTTTTCCTTCACCCTTCCTAGGACTTACCTGTCCTGCACTGCCACCTCCTATTTTTCTGTCCAGCATCCAATTTCTTCAGAAAGTGAAGTTTCTTACACTGCAACTGGGTGTTTATGATCTAACTTGTTACTTCTTGAAGTCTGTGTACATGCGACCTGTGGACGCTTTGCCTTCATATAAAAGAGTGGTGAGGGAATTTCATGCAGAGGACAAATTGTTTTGCTGGATACTTTACCCAACAACTTTTAGATCATAGTAGGTGGCAGTCCAGGGGAACCTGAGGATACAGTCTTCACTCCAGACTTTAGATTTTTCTCCACTTAATAATCATGATAAAATCTAGAATAGAAAGTAGAGCAGAATCTTTTTTGTGGAACCTCTCCTTATTCTGAACAAAAAATAGAATTTTGGGTCAGTATTTTTCTTTGGGAAATGAGACGTTCAAAACTTCCACATTCTTTTTTTTTATTATTAGGATGGTGTTACTTACTCCGTGCCTTTGCAAAAGATAGACATGAACATAGTGTCCTGTTAGACACAAATATCGGTGTTTTCTAAAGTTTAGCCTAAACTTGAATCTCTGTTCTTTGTCTTGTGGCAAGAATCATGAGTTAATCCAGGATTATGGGGGACAAAAAATAACTCTTCACTAGAAACTATAATAAATCGAAGTAACTTCAAAGATGTACGATTATTTGGGAATATGTTTGTTAATGGATAGTTTTGTTTTTCCTCAGGTTAAGATTACCTCCATGGCTAAAGACAGAGATTCCCATGGGGAAAAATTACAATAGACTGAAAAATACTTTACGGAATTTAAATCTCCATACAGTAAGTTGTCAAGGTGTTAAATATTTCTCTTATTCAAAAGCCATAAATTCTCTACATATGTGTAACTTAAAAATTAATAAAATACGTACCAATAGCAGCAAGGAAAATGAATAAAGATGTTTAGGATGCATTACTATTAGTAATGAAAATATAGGTAAAAATCATTTTCCCTGCAAAAGAAAAAAAAGTAACTGAATTTCTTAGCTTCTCATTTAACACTGGGGGAAAAAAAAAGATTCTTCTTGCAGCTTAGGAAATGAGGGGTTTTTTGTTCTATATTACTAGTTAAGAACATGCTTCCCTGGCTGATTAGCTCAGTTGGTTAGAGTGTTGTCGCCATATACCAAGGCTGCGGGTTGGATCCCTGGTCAGGGCACATACAAGAGGCAACCAACGAATGAATAAATAAGTGAAACAATAAATCAGTGTTTCTCCTTCTATGTCACTGTCTCTCTTTAAGGAAAAAAAAAAAAAAAAGCTAGGTGGCTCAGTCAGTTGGAGCAGCATCATGTGTACCAAAAGGTTGTGGGCTCCATCCCTGGTCAGGGCACGTATGGGAGGCAACTGATTGATATCTCTCTCCCCCCGCCCCTCTCTTTCTTTCTCTCTCTCTTCTCATCCCCCCCCCTTCTCTTTCTCTATCTCTCAAAACCAATAAAACAAGTCCTTAGGTGAGGATTTTAAAAAACATGCTTGTTGGAAAGAGTATATGTGAAATGTCATACACATAATCTCAAATGTTAACTCCACCACTTTAACTGTTTAAAGTATATCCTTTCAGGCCTTTTCTTTGCACATATAAATATATACATTCATACTGTTTCTAACTTAAAGATGGGGTCCTCAGATACATACAGTTTGGCAGCTTAACAGCATTGTTGAATAGTGAATTTCTTCATCAGTGTGCTGTAAAAGTCGACTGTGTAGAATGCCCGGTCATTTGTTCACTTGGTAAATATCTTTGGCCTGGTTGTATTCAGCTCCCTTTCCTCGCAGGTGTGTGAGGAGGCGCGCTGCCCCAATATTGGCGAGTGCTGGGGAGGCGGAGAGTACGCCACTGCCACAGCCACCATCATGGTAAGGCCAGTCTCAAGCACTATAGTCTTAGTCTAGAAACCGAAAGGAAGTGTTTTATGTCTTTCTCCTAAAAATGAGCATTAAATGCCTCTGATTTTTCATTAATAGGAATTTATGCAAAATATGTGAAAAATAAACCTGACAATAAACCAGCCTGTTGTGATCTCACTCTTCTCTGAATAAATCTGTTATTGAGTCTTTCATCTAACAGTTAATCATGTGCTGTCTTGAGCTATATCTCCTATTAATTTTTGGAAATGTTATTTACGGTCACTTAATTTTGAGCTGGGGTTCAGCTGATCTTGACTGAGCGAAGCTGGACTCCAGGAAGTAGGACGCGTTCAGATCTGCTCTGCAGAGCTTTATTCTCCTTGGAGCAGCAACTCTTCAAGGCATATCCTTAGCATGGAGAATGGATGGAGTACAAGAGGGCAACCCAACCATCTGTGCACATTTGGGGCTTCTGCTTGCTCATGCCTGCTATATTCTGTTGGCCAAAGTAAGTCATATGGCCAAGCCAAATATCAGTTGGGATAGAGACATAAGCTCATCTAGTGGGGAGGGGAGGCTGCAAGTTACGGGGCAAATGGTGACATGTAGAACCTTGATTTGGTGTCATAAGAATTTGGAATAACAGTGCAGTCCACCGCATTTATCCAGATGGGGATGAATATTGAGGTATTGGGCTTAAACCTAGATTGTGTGCAGCTGGAAGTTCTATTTGTGTGACAATGTCTGCCACACTGCTGAGTGGTACCGGCAGGAGGCTGTTTACATGAAGCGCTGAGGATTCTTATGAGAGAGCGCCTTCTGATAACTCAGAGCAAACCAGGGAGCTGATCCAAGTTGTACAACCTCAGTTCTCAAAGAAAGGAGTAATTGTGAACACACCATGATGGAAATCTCTGGTTTCACCCCTTACCTGGCCCCTTTCCCACTGTTGACTCGTTACTGATTCCTGGGGATAGTTTATTGTTTCAGTAAAACTCTGAGACTTTGGGCCTAGGCATTGTGCTGTGAGCCCCCTCCGAGAGAGTTAAATGTAAAGGGGGAGAGGAGCTTTCACCCCCAAACTATAGCCCCTACCTTGGTGCTTTGAAACTGTGGTGGCCCCAGAACATCTGCAGTGGCCATGCTTGTGGGGGCAGAACTTGGTAGTGACCTGTGGCAGCAGAAGCAGTGTTTTAGAGAAAGAGTGACACCTACAGAAAGCAGAGTATTGGCTTTTTATGTGTTTTCTGTTTCATCTATGTAACAAGAAACAGCTGTGCCTACTGTTTAATTCCTAGAGAGGTCTGTATACCGATAACATTAAATATTTTATTTTACAATCATTTTATTAATATTAAATAGGTACAAAAGAATCTTTATAATTTATCTGTAAGAATACCAGTACAGCAGACACCCTGATACCTCCAGTTTGAGAGCGGAACGTTAGCACTGTCTTCGAGCCCCTCGTTGATTCCATCCCCCTTTTCCCTTAATGCCATTCTTAACTCTGAGTCTATCATTTCCTTTTCTTCCTAGTTTTACAACATTACATTTGTATTTCTTAACTATATTGCTTAGCTTTGAATGTTTCACATTTCTTATAAACAGAATCAAGTTGTATTCATTCTTTGTAACTTTATTCTCACACTATAATACTCCTGAGGGTCATCTGCCTCCTTGATTTAAGTAGTAACATTTTTATTCTAGTTGATGGGTGACACATGTACAAGAGGTTGCAGGTTTTGTTCTGTTAAGACTGCAAGAAAGCCACCTCCACTGGATGCCAGTGAGCCCTACAGTACTGCCACGGCGATCGCAGAGTGGGGCCTGGATTATGTTGTCCTGACGTCTGTGGATCGAGATGGTTAGTGTGTCGTCATTACCTCTTCCAGAAATTGGCTCTCACTGACTTGTGACGTCATCTTGAGCAGTGGGCTCTCTTGTTTCTAGATTTGCCCGATGGAGGAGCTGAGCACTTTGCAAAGACTGTGTCACACTTAAAGGAAAGGTACATGGTTTCGGCATTTGCTTCTGTGTAATTTAAGGGCTTTTTTGATCAATATAAATTCTGTTTCTTTAAGATCTCAAAGCAATGGTTATTAACCTTTTGTGTGGTATTATGAACCTCCTCTGATAATCTACTGGAAATTATGTGTCTTTTTCTCCAGAAAAAGCATATGTTAACATACAGGTACATAGTTGCAGAAATTTTAGAGATTCGGGGGCACAGACTTATCTGTGGACCTTTGGTCCATAAAATCCGTACGTCATATTTCAGTGCTAGTCTAAACTTTGAGTTTAAACTTTTCAAAGAAGTATAAAACTAAAAAAAAGTATAAAACTTCAGCCTTCCTTGCGCTGATTTTGAGTAAATCATCATCTAGAAGGAATAAGGATGAGATAAGCTCCTACATTGTAAAAATACATAAGACTCGATACAGATTTTATCTATATGCATATGACCTTGGGATTTTACCCATAATCTACATTTTTATTATTTTAATCTCATCTATTTAAAAAGCTTTAAAAAAGAAGTTATGCTTAATTCCTATAGCTCAGTGCTAGTCTAGCACCTACACACTTAGTAAATGGTTTTTTTCAATGATTCCTGCAATATTTTCTATTTAATTTTTTATAGTTAATTTTAAAAAGTTTGTTTGCAACCTACTGAATTGATTTCACAAATTACTAATGGGTCTCACCTTGCAGTTAGCAAATGGTAAATTTGTTACAGCAGGTGTTCTTTCAACATCTTTCATACCCACAAGAGGGCAGATACAGATACATAGATGTGTAGGTATAACTGTTCTCTTGGGAAACACTGCAGAAACTTTGCACTGGTTTTGTGTAAAATTTGTCAGCTGTCTCCATCATTTCTACTGCTGTCACAGAAAGTAGCTCCATGAACTAGTTCATATTTTACTGCTTGCATGCATAGGTAGATCCGATGTAAGTAGGACGATTAATACTTTGCTTGTATTTCATTTAAGCAAAGCTTTTGGCTCAGTAACTCAGAACAGTTTTTAAAACCTATAGCACTTGTGAAATATTTGCCTAGAGGCAAATAGTCACTGTTTGATGAATTTTTAAAGAAATCAAAATTAAAGCATTCAAATAATGTTTACATTCACACAGAAATGTCCCAATTTATTTTCTAAAAAATAAATATTTTATATTTAACATTTTGATATTTATATCTTGATTGATAAAAATTATTTTTAAGACCTCAGTAAAATGTAAACATCTACATAATCTCAAAATGTATTGTTATTGCATGCAGCTGTGTTTTAACCACTATGTAAACATTATCTGATGCTCTGGATCTGCTTTTTTTCTTGCACCAGTTCAAACGTAAACATTTCTGTGTGCATGCTTTTCTTGGTGCGGTTCTAAATAGAGATTATTGTATTGAAACTGATGCAGAAGGAGTAGGATGATTTCTCTGATAAGCAGCGGTTGTGTCAGTTCTTTTCCTCCGTTTGATACTTACCTTTTCTCCCCTTAGGAATCCAAAAATTCTTGTGGAATGTCTCACCCCGGACTTCCGAGGAGATCTGAAAGCAGTGGAAAAAGTCGCTCTGTCAGGATTAGATGTGTACGCACATAACGTGGAAACAGTCCCAGAATTACAGAGGTGCCTAACGTGTAAAGTAATGTTGGGACGTTTTTCAAAGGAGAACTTCGGAATTTACTTTTATAAAGTAAATGTAAAACAGTGTACATGTGTCTGTTACAGAAAATTCGGAAAATAGGGCCAACAAAAAGAATGTGATTATCTCCCACAATATTTCTGCCCAGTAATATTAATTTCTAACATCGCAGTGTGTATATACTTAGATATTTATTTACACATGTGTGTTGTATTACACACACATAATGAGCATCTTTTTTTCTTGTTTTAATAGTATATTACAAGGGCCAATGATTTATTTTTTCAAAGGAAAGAGTTTGAAAAAATTACATAAGAGCAATTACTTTGTAATTCTTAAGGAAAAAAAAGACCTTTAAAATGCATTTGGCTTTAAGATACGCAATAAATGATGCGAAAGAAAAACTAATATTGTTCAGATGTATTTTAAATCTCTTTTAGAAAGTAGATACTAACTATGTTTCCTTATTTTCCCTAAAAATATTAATATTTAGGAATAATTATAATTCCACATTAATTACTGTTCATATTTCAAAAAAATAAAAATTATATTAGCCTTTAGGCAAGATTAATACATTCACTTTTATTAACTTTAGTAAAGTATTTGACAGTGGTTTTAGCTTCTAGATGTTATACTTTGTTACAGAACTTGAAAGAAGTATGATAAAAGATTATCATTTCCTCTTAGTCATAACCATTAGGGGGCATAACCTAAGTTCAGTGGAGAAAGACTTTCAGAATGTACAGACTTTCTGTATTCTCAGTCTTGTAGTTATTTTTAAACTCCTAAATTGGTTTTCTCTCTTTTCTATGAAATAACCACCACAACAAATGAGTTATGCAAAGTAAAGGTGCATTTGTATTCAAATGAATGCTCGTTTAACAGCACAACTCTGTATCCTCTGGGCCCTGTCCCCATTTATGCTGTCGTGGTTTGACCCCTGTTGAAGTCTGGCACGTGGCCTGTTCCAACCCTGTCACATGTCTCAGGATACCACCACCAGTGGGTGCCAGTTTCCCTGCTCTGGCTTAAGAAACATTATCCTTTCCAGTGAAAATTCCAGAATCATGCCTTTCTTTTTGCCTAAGAGATGTCAATGTTGTGTTCTCACCAGCAGGGGGCAGCTGAGTCTTTAGAAAAGAAATGATCATAAAAGTTTCAGACCTGAAATGTGGGTTTTAGGTTAAACAGTTTTTTCTTTGTTCAGTACCGAGATTTTCTTCCACTCTTTTTCCCTTCTTTTCTTGAATACCCCTTACAATCACTCATTCTCAGCTTCAGAATTCTGCCTTCTCTGTGAATACTTCGTAGATTGAATTACTTTTATTTTCATTTTTTCTGCCCCAGGTTTAAAAAGCCTTCAAAGTCCACAGCTAGGACTCCAGTGAAGCTTTTTTTGTGTCCTATGGTAACAATTAGACATTTGTGCACAGTCTACCACTGAGCCACGTGATGTGGTAGAGTGTCCAGAGTGTACTTTTCTGGTCTTTCATGTTGCTGACATAGTTCTGTGCTTAGCCAAGCTCATGGTCGTTCTTGCTGACAACAGCCCTGCTGTTTTCAAGGAAAGTTCGTGATCCCAGGGCCAATTTCGACCAGTCTCTACGTGTACTGAAGCACGCCAAGGAGGTGCGGCCTGACGTGATTTCTAAAACGTCTATAATGTTGGGTTTGGGCGAGAATGACGAGCAAGTGTACGCAACAATGAAAGGTAAAGAAATTGACAAGTGAGAACTCCCGTTACGTTTGAGTAATAGCAGGAACCCACTTGGAAGGCCCTCTTGTGCTTCCTGCACAGTCGCAGTGAAAGTGCTGTCAACATAAGAAACGTTCAAACCTGTAGAGAATTTTTGTGAGTCTACTTGGGCCAAACTGACAACAACTGCTAGGAAGCAAAATCTAAATGGACTGAGAAATGCTCCGGAGAATTGCAGTTTAGCACCTTACTTTACACATTACAGTCAAGGGGGCCATTAGGAGGTTACAGGAAATCCAGTGGTGATACATTAGGGAGGCCGGAGAAAGCAAAGCAAAGGAAACCTCTGGGATTGGATAAAAAGTTAAATGATAGAGACACTTGTACACAGGTGGGTACAGGATAGTTCATAGTCAATTAACATGGTAACAATAAGAATGAGGGGCGTTGTGGCCCCCCTGGTGCAGTGTTTGTACTTTGAAGGTCAATTCAGCATTCCAAAGATACGTTATCAGATGCAAAAAAAACTGCAGACAGGCTTAGTTAAGGTAAAGATTGACCTTTGTTAGGGCCTAATACTGGCCTAGGATGTGACTACCCTCCATGATCTACTCTTAGAAACTTTTAATTTCAGACTTTCCCATGTGGTCACTTTGAAGGCTGTCACACAGGCCTCCCCCAAACTTGTCAGGCTTCACATGTGGTCCCTCTTCCACAGTGCCAATAAGAACAACGTACGGTGGGTGTGTGGTAATAAACAGTAACATAAAAAGGAAAGGAAGTGTATAGCGTTAGAACTTTGGGGAATGATACACAGGGAGCTAGGATATGAAATTTGTATCCCATTTTTCTTCCTACCCTTTTATCAAGTAAAAACATGCTGCTGACCACTTGTTCAGTCGTAGAACAATTTTTGAGAGCCATCCAGGTACCAGGAGCTCTGGTTGGCACTGGCAGTTCAAAGACGAAGAGGATGGTTTCAGCCTTTGAGGAGGAACTTACATGTAACCCAGTCACACAATGTCATGTGTTGGACTTTGCGCATTGTACTTCCATGACCTTTTTGCTTTGTGATTCTTGGGGTTTTTGAAACTTTAAATGTAAAAGTTTTTGTTTTACCTGAAAGTCTGTGGCCATCTCACAGCTGTTTATTTTTTACAAAGAGTAGTAAGTTCAAACAGTAACTAAAACGTTCTCTTTACCACAATGCATAGTTTTACTAGAAAGATTTTGATGTCAGATCACATCATCCACCCAAGCACAACTTACACATTTAGCAGAAGGCCAGTGCAACACCTCTGGTGTATAATATGGGGGTTTTCAGGCCTTCGATACACTGCTCCCTGTATCCTTTCTGCCTGACAGACACCCTCTCTAGACGCTCTCTACCCCTCTTCTCGCATGTGGGCCACAGTACTGGAGTGGTCCGTCCTTCTGTCAGCCCCCCGTGGTCCTAATCATTCCTGCGTTTTCAGGCCTTACCGTGTTTCCCAGGTGTAAATGAGTGGATGAGTATAGTCTTGCTTATACATTCAGATTTTAGGCCAGAATAAAGTTCATACTGTTCTGAAATAAAATTATGTTCTGGAAAATCATGCTTAAACCTACACTTTTGGCATCGTAGAAACACCTGCTGATGTGTGCTCTTTTCCTCTAGCTCTTCGTGAGGCGGACGTGGACTGTCTGACTCTAGGGCAGTATATGCAGCCAACGAAGCGCCACCTGAAGGTACAGCTGCTGTGAATTACCGAGTGTCTGTCGCTCGTTTGAGTTAAATCTTTATTGTCCACAGGTAAAATTAAAAAGCTGGTGGCTTTTTAGTGATGTGTTCCATGTATATTTCCAAGTCCAGGTTCCATTTTATTATCTGCATAAAGCAGCTACACTGGAATTTATTTGCTGTTCCCAAAGTTATATGACTTGACTTGAATGATGGACCAACAAAAAATGTTTAAAGTTTGGGAAATTACATTCACTCCCGATTGGTAATCTTGTGATTTGTTTTAGAGTTATATGAGGGCCAGGATGAAGTAAGAAAGTCAGTCTTCCTATTTTTTATTGGACCTTTATTCATTCATACAAGAAGCTTTTGTTTGAGTAGTGACCATGCGCCAGGCACAATGCTGAGCAGAGGGTACCAGATGAGTAAGACACAGTCTGGTCCTCAAGAATGTTACAGGAGCAACCGATTCTTCATTATGCTTGTTAGTCAATAAAGTTGTGATACAGATAATACAAAGCTTCTAAATAATCTCTTTTTCTTTCTCTGGCCTTTGGAATAGCTAATGCAAAATTGGTATGTCCCTCCCCCCTTCCCTAATTCCTGTCATGTTCTGATAGAGTGGCCAGCGGGTAACCGCAGACAGGTTGTCAGTAAAGAGGGAGGAGAAGAAACCTGGGCGCGCCTGGATACATTAGGAAGTTAAAACTACCCTCATTGCATGAATATCAACTTTTTATAGAAGGAAAATGATTTATGGGAGTTCTGGAATCAATTAATTCTTTAAATATAGGTTGAAGAATACATTACTCCTGAAAAGTTCAAATACTGGGAAAAAGTAGGAAATGAACTTGGATTTCATTATACTGCAAGTGGCCCTCTGGTGCGTTCCTCATATAAAGCAGGTGAGTTAGACTGGGGGGGGTGGTTTTAGGTAGACCATAACTTTCCACATTAAAACTGTAATAGCTGTGGATATCTTTTGTGAAAAAAAAAAGAAAGGGGAAGGGCACTGGGGACATCCCTGGGAGATTTGCTCCATAAGGGTCACATTGGGGGGAAAATTGCTTAAGTCTAGTTTGTTCCTTAAATGAGAATCGTTCCCTACTTTAATAGCTGAGCTGTTGTGGTGAGAGCAGAAGTCGGTCTTTGTGTGGATTTTAGTAGTAGGTTATTCAGAAATGACAAAGATCAGTGACGCATATAACATCGTTTTCTTGCCCTGGCTAGAGCGGCTCAGTGGATTCAGTACTGGCCTGCTAGTGACCAAAGGGTCACCCGGCTCGAGTCGCAGTCAGGGCACATGCCTGGGTTGCAGGCCAGGTCCCCTGTGGGGGGCACGTGAGTGCCACCCAGACATTGATGTTTCCCTCTCTTTCTCTAACCTGCCCCCTCTCTAAAAGTAAATAAATAAAATCTTTGAAAAACAACAAAGAGAGAAAAGGGAATTAGACTTAAAAAAAATAACAGTTTTCTGGAACATGTACAGTCATTTAACTGTGATGCAGCTTCATCTCCAAACTCCGAATTTGAATCCAAACCCTGAAAAGTATTAAATATCTATTTGACAGCATTGCTGCTTGCAATATTCTGTGTTTTCCCTCCAAGAAGCAACAAAAAAGTGTATAGGATTATTTTCCTTACAGAAATCTTCAGTGTTTTTACTAGCTTTGGTGCAATTTTCACCTCGATAATTTCAGCTTATTTTAATTAGTAGTTTGAGCTCATGAAAATAAAAGCCTTTTCCAAGAGATTAAAAATCATGTAATAGTGGCCATTAAAAGATCTGTGAGAAAATAACTGAAAATTGAATTTAATCCAAAAAAATCTTTACAGTGTTTTCCCTGTCACTTAGACTTGATTACAATTTTTTGAAGAATAAATCAGTTATTTTTTAGGCATGTCTAAGCTGTGTTATTATAACTAATGATCGTTTAAATGACTTATATGTCAGGGTCTAAATCATAGATATGCTTAAATTAGCATAGATTTTATTTATAAAAATTAATGGTCAAGTATTAGTAATATTTAGTGTGTGCCTATAAAAAAATTTAATGAAGCAACAATAGTTTATCGTAGTCAGAAAACCTGAGAATTGGATTCAACACTGACCGGCTGACAAGGCGTGGGGACTTTGGAAACCAATCATTATAAGTGGTTTATTCTTCTCAGTGCTGCTGGGAAGGTAAAACTAAGTACAGAAAATAGATAAAGCATCAGTTTCCCAGAGTGCTTAAAGAAGAGTACTATCATTTGAAAGGAGTTTTATTTTTTTTTGTGGGATTTTTTTTTTGAGAAAGTTTCTAACATTTATAAGGAAGTGAATTATGGACATTTTAATGGTTTTCTTTGAGGTACCAGTAAAATGTCCGATTCTAGTAGTAGAGCATTAGATTCAGATGATGAGTTACAATCTGATCATGAAAACGTTGGTTTTGCTCCTATCAGAATTAGGAGCCGCATGGGTTATTTTCTCCATTACTTGGCTAGGTTATGAGCCTTGGAATTCTTGGTGATTGTGTATGGATAGGATACTTGCAGTTCTACTCGTGTCTAGATGACAAACAGAAGTCAATCAGACTCCTCATAAAACCAGACCTGCAGTGCTGAGCTCTGCCAATAAGCACTGAGCTGTGCTGTGACAGTGAGTGACTAAATGGAGCCCTAATGACCTGAGAAGTGACCCTGTCCCCTCTAACCAGCTAACTGATTGCACGGGCACAGCTGAGGGGGAGGAGAGAAAGCCCACTATAAACGAAGAGCTCTTGCTTCCCTGGAGGGGAGTAAACTAGCGATTCCATCAGATGAGTCTGCTCAGCTGCGACGAATCAGATGAGTCCGCTCAGCTGCGACGAGGTCTGTTTTGTAAACATCAGATCCAGGCTAACAATGGAGCAGACCTGCTCTCTGAAATGAACTGTGCCAGCAGCAGTACTTTGGTCAGTGATGGACTAGATGGCGCACATAGTGTGGAATAAACGTACAGAAGCAGAGCCAGAGATGCTGTAGGGTCACCCGTTATAATACTGAGTTACTAGGAAGAATACTGTGATGATAAAACAGCATTTTTTAAAAGAGTAATGGCCAATCATTGTTGGGGAAAGAACCAGTGATGTAGGGGGTATTGTTACCATTGAAATGGAGGGGAGAAATGCCAATAAACAGAAAAATGTTTAAAGAAAAACACTGAAGCATAATTATTCTGAAATTGACTTTAAGTTGATATTACTGTATTTTCATTTTTCCTAAATAGGTGAATTTTTCCTGAAAAATTTAGTGGCTAACAGAAAAACAAAAGCCCTCTAACTCTTAACAAGACATTCAAGATCACAGGAGCTTTTAAAACCTGATTCCATTTGCTACCTGAGGTGGGGACTGAATGCCTGTACTTCACTGGATGAACCCAGTCTTTTGTTTCAAGAGAAATGTCAATAAGCTGTGCATATTTAATGATAGTTATTTATTTGTCTTTTAGCATGTCTTTTTGTCCCAGTAAACAATTGTTTGCTACAGTGTAATCATAAAACATCTTTGTAAGAGTTTACTGTTATAGTATAATTTTAAAAGTACATAAAAAAACTTCTAGGAAACTTTAATCCTGTTACCTGTGCATCATTTCATTTCTGATAAATGACATACTGTGAGAAAACCAGTATAGATTGAGGCTATGATCAGATTATTAGTAATTAGCATGTGTTCTTTATATAATAGTACTACGTCATCATTGGAGTAATTTAGAAAGGCTTAGGAGTGCCAGTGCCGGTTTTCACAGTCATACGACTACTTTAGGCTTGCAGAAGAGCTGTGCCCTGATTACTGGAGGAGCTCAGTGAAGCCAAGACCGCAACGCTGTCCACGACAGGGAAGTGTAACCTAAGAGCAGTGTGTGACGTCTGCACGCACTGCCCTCTTAGTCCTCACATCACTCTGGTGAGGCCGTTGTAGATGGAATAGCAGTGGCCCGAGGCAGACTGCTCCATCTCACAAAGGAAATGTTTAGGTGGCTGTACTGTAAAATATGTCAAGTGGAGAGCCAGGTCTGTTTTGAATTTTTAAACATTCACTAGGATGTTTTATAAAAGTAAGGCATAACTTTGAAAATTAGTTAAATTTTAATCTAACTCACGGGTCAGATGTACTTTGATTCACTTTCAAATGTAAGCATCTCTGAAATGATTCTCTTTAAAATCTATTCTTTGACTGGAATAACAGATTAGAATATGATGTTTCCTAATTTTGCACAATGGAGGCAAATGGTAATGAAACATTTTAGCAGAAGAATACTTTGTCAAATGAAATTTTCATGAAATCCCAATGTAAAATAATTAAAATGGCACTTTATTAGCACAATGTAAATTTCAGATTGGTGACAACTATATAGTAGTGGCTGAAAATAAAACCGTTTTGATACAAATGTGAAACTGGGGGTCATTTGCAGTCTTTTGTCAGCCTCAGCAGTCTACTTACTCCTTTGTTTTACTTTGGTTACACAGTAGTGAGGGAAATCCTGACTGACACAGGATAGTAGTAGTAAATAATAATAATAATAGTAAACTATAACAAGTTTTAGAACACTTCATCTTGCAATCTCAGGATGCTCTCCAGTTAAACATAATCTGAAAACTTGAAAGAGGAATAGCAGGAAGTGTTTGTTTCAAAGCGGAATCACAAATAGTCTTCTGGATTTGTTACTCATTCATTGCGTAACTGACCACCATACGGTGACCAGAATATGTGACCAAACGCCTGAGTCTTGCTCGAGATTTGCGTGTGGCGAACACGTGCTGTAGAGGTATACACCCTTGCACAGCTGTACAAGAATGGACGAGCTTGGATTTTTTAAAGGCCAGGGCAGAGCTCTGACCTTCCCAAACAATGATGCATTAATTAGGAGCACACTCAAATGCACAAACGTGGCAAGAGGTTTCTACCAAAATTCTTGATTGGGCAGCACAAGTTAATGCATCAGTGGTCTCCGATGTAATGGACCCATTTCAGGATGTCTCTGATCTTTTTATTTCTGTAGCACAAATAGCATTAAGAAAGTAAAAGTGATAAAGGCATGTATTTTTTTAAGAAAACTGATACAGGGGTCCCTGCCCCTTTTCCAACCACTGAACCAGCCAATCCAGAAACCCTCCTCCTATTTGGTGAGATAATGTCTTATTAATGAATCCAGTTTAAATAGGAGTCTCTCTTACTTGAAGCTAAAAGCATCTTAATTATTACATTAAGAAATGTCATCACGATTGAGGATTTATCTCAAAGGAATTATGTGAGGAATAGATGAGGAAATACACCCAACAGGCTTAGCATAGCACCTGTCCTGTAATGCTCAGTGTTAATTACTGTTCCTAGTGATTCCAGAACCCAAACGTGGCTTTGGTTCAGTGGGACCAGCTTATGGTGTCTAACAGGACTGCCCATCACGTGCCAGCCACTGTGCCAATGAGCTCTTTGTGTAAACATTTATTTCATGTAATCCTTTTCACAAAAGTTTTTGAGTTAGAGGTGAATTTTCTCTTATTTTACAGATGAGGAAAATTAGGTTTTCAGGTAGCTTAGCCAAGATACCACATGCTAGTAGGTAACGCAGCATTCAAAATTTAAAGCTGGAAGTCAAGTGGAGGAACAGATGACTTCTGGAGAGCACATTGTGGGAGAGAGGGCTTAGTTTTTTATATATCCTTCTGTATCGATATGATTTTTAAAAACCATTTCCACGTACAATTTTCAGTTTTAGTTATGTTAAAATTCTCACCAATATACATTTGGCCCCCACCAAAAAAAAAGAGTACCTAAGAAAAATAGAAACTGGTAATTTTTTTTAAAAGTCTTAATTGTCTTAGTAGGAGAAGAAAAAAAGGCTAGCCACATTTTTTTTTTTTAGTTGATCTTAGGAAGGAGGAGAGAAAGTGATGTGTAGTTCCATTTATGCATTCATTGGTTGATTTGTGTATGTGCCCTGACTAGGGGTTGAACGCTGGTGTGCTGAGATGCACTCTAATCAACTGATCTGCCTGGCCTAACCACATTCTTGCAATGTTCCACACAAAGTTCTCAGATTGCTGTGTCAAGTTATCTCCCCAGTTACTTTGGTTTTTTTCCTCCCTACCACAAACATCAAGTCTGCATGGCTCTCAGCTGTCTTTTGTCCATTTTCCTCCACTTACCAATTCTATTAGCTCATCCTCACTTTCCAATCTTATGAGTAAGAGCTCATCTTGCATTGAAACACTCGGGTGTTTGCCTCTTTCAGGGGTCTAAAAATTTTTTCTTGAAGGACCAGATAATAAATATTTTAGGCTTTTCAGGCTAAGGGGCAAAATTGGGGACTTAACTATAACCACTTATAATGTAATTATAGCCCTGACTGGTGTGGCTCAGTGGATTGAAGACAACCCGTGAACCTAAGGATCACTGGTTCGATTCCCAGTCAGGGCACATGCCTGGGTTTGGGGCTAAAGACAACCTATTGCTGCATCCCTCATACATCCACGTTTCTCACCCTCTTTTTCCCCCTCCCTCCCGTGGGTTATGCTGTTCCCTCCCCTCTAAAAAAATAAAATCTTTAAAAATAAATAAAATGTAATTATATAAAAAATGCTCATCTCAGAGGCAGCTGGCCAGACGTGGCTTATGAGCTATGGTCTGCTGACCCCTAGTCTACTTGCTAAATTCTCTCCCTTTCTCGCATCATCTGAACATGTAATGTATGTAATGCCCTTTTCTCAAAAAATAAGTGACTTTTTCCTGCTTAATGCCAGACTGTCATGACTCATTAGTTACTTGCACTGTGACAAAAATACACCCACACAGTTGTTTTTGCAGAATATTTTATTTGTGTATTTGATATCTGTACAGATGTTTCTGTCCTTATCTTTATACTTGTCACTGTTCTTCCTGAACCGCACTAATTCCTAAAGGTAAGGCCTGTATCTGTTTAACACAGTTTGTATACTCTTAGCAGAACATAAACATCGAATGGAGAGCTGATACATTTCAGTAATAATAGAACAGAAATCAAATGTAAGTCAGAAAGAGACATAAGAAAAAAGATGCAAATACAAAAATTCTTATTATAGAATTATACATGATTTGTAAAACCTGTCTTTAAGTTTTGGCTTTCTTATTTAAAGAAAAAGGGGAAAACTTGCAACAAATAATAAAAATAAAAATGCAAGTTCAAGATAAATATTTTTGGCTCTTGGACTAAAAAATAATGATCAGTGAGGAAAAACTCTTGAGAAGTGAAATGAAATGGACCCCAGTACTGATGTTCCCTCCTGTTTTAAAAAAAAAATGCCTTTAATCTTATTTGAATTGATTGGAAATGAATTAGTGATGACCTTTTTAGGCTAAAAAAACCCAATAACACAGTTTATTAAAACGAAAGGGTACTTCTTACATGGAAGCACAGGAAAAAATATTAAAACATTAAAAAGAAAAAACACGAAAGGCCCCATTCTGTCCATCGCATCCCCCTCCTAAATTCGCGGTGACAAGAAATGCTCTGGAAGACACCTCACCCAGGTGAGCCAGGAACCTCTAAAATCCCCAGGACACTTTCTGAAAGGTGAACAGGGTTTGCCCAGTACTTAGCAAGCAATTTTATGATTTAAAATACATATTCAATGACAACTAATCGAACTGACAAACACTGAAAAGTGCCTTTCTTTTTACAATGTGATATTAAAGTGCAGCCTACAGATACGTATTTTCTAAGGTAAAAAGTGTTTGAAGGTTTTGTTTTACAAAAATTGACACCATTGAAATCAACATGATTGATTTCTTGCCACTCATCCAATCACTGAGGTAACAATATTATAAAAATATGTAAAAAATATTATAGATTCATAATTACTAGGTATGCAGATTCCCAGAACTAGTATAAATTGATTATTAAAAAAAATAGTTTTGTTTCCTTAAAAACTTGGTTCATTTACCATTAAATAGCAAATAGATACTTGCTATCCTGAAGTACCAAAAAAATTACAAATCAAAATGACATGTTTATACTTTGAGTTTCTTGTTAGGTGGATCCTGAAGACTAAACTTTGGAATTGCACTAGAAGGAGCATATGGAATTCTCTTTGAAGACACCTTTTTGCCAATTGTTTCAATCTAGAAAAAAAAGATTTTAGAAAGAAAACGATTAACCAGTATAATACATAAATGTAAAAACTCTATCATGAAGTGTAACTAAAGAGGAAAGCAGAAAATATTTTCCAATTTTTCGGAGCTGCTATGAAAGATCTTTGTATCTTCCCCTATTTTTAATGTTTCTAGAATCCATGTACATTCTACTGTTTTAAGGGAGTTATTGTAATAGTTTTATTTATTTAATCTTTATTATGATTTTAAAGATATATTTTAGTGATGATGCTGTTACAGTTGTCCCATTTTTCTCTCCCCTTTATTGCCTTCTGCCCTGTACCCCCTCCTATTAGCACCTCCCTCCCTCCTTAGTTCACACCCATGGATCATACATACAAGTTCTTTGGCTTCTCCATTTCCCATCCTGTTCTTAACCTCCCCCTGTCTATTTTGCACCTACCATTTATGCTCTTTATTCCCTGTACCTTTTTCCCCTCTCTCCCACCACCCCATCCCCACTGATAACCCTTCATGTGATCTCCATTTCTGTGAATCTGCTCCTGTTCCTAGGGGTCTGTCCAAACAACTCTCCTGTGAGGCCGGGAGTTTCTTCCGCGGCCACAGCAACCCCCACAGGTGTTTTCAGTCAGAGGTCTGAGGCTTTATTTCCCCACTGGAGCCCTGGGTTGCGTGGTCTGTCTTGCTCCCCAATTGTTCCTGCTGGTTTATCTGCACACAAATGTGGGACCACCCAGTCCATCAGCCACCACCTTGCCTAGTCCTCCAGCCTCCTGCCTTGCCACAAGTCCTCTCCGCCTTAGCTGCCCATCTTCACCCCTGCCACGGGTCTGGATGAATGTTTCTTCTTTAACTCCTTGCTTGTCAGATTCCCATACAGTTTGATTTTCTGGCAGTTGTGGTTATTTTTTGTTTTTAAATTTGTTGTTGTCCTTCTTTTGGTTGTGCGAGGAGCCACAGTGTGTCTATCTACACCTCCATCTTGGCAAGAAGTCCATTCTACTTTTCATATGCACATCTAGACACTCTCACTCCTGGCAGTCCCAACACCAGACTCTGCCCTCAAACAGGACAGAGAATTCTATGCCACTGTTTTAGTAGCATATGTGAAAGCCATTAAGACAACAGATTCCAGTTAATTCACGTTCTCTCTCATACTCTATTTTCATGTCCATTTCCCTTATTCTAATGAAGTTGCATAGGTTCTGAGAGCACAGATTTTAGGAGCTCAGGCTTTAGATTTGAAAGGTGCCATTGGAATCCTGACTGATAATTGCTTTGTTACCTGAACTCTCTAGGTCTCTTTCCCTTGGTTATAAATGGTATTGCCACCACCTACCTCACAGGCTGTGGTGCGGACTGTATCAGATAAAGCACTCAGCACAGCGTTTGGCACACCAGCTGGCCTTGGGTGAAGGGAGTCTAATTTCATTGTGCACATTACATTTTAAACTCTTTCCATATATCTAAAATCACCAGTCTTAACTTTAAAGACCGCTTCTTTACTAGTCATAAGTCTATCTCCTCTCTACTGCAGAGATAAATATACTACACAATTTTTTATGTCTTTTGACTTTAAAATATTTAATTCTGACTCATAACACAAAGAAAGGATTTCTGCTTTGTATGAATGGTCCTATTCAGTGACTTACAAAAATATCTCTATTTAGTGTTTCCATTCCTAATTATTTTTCTTAATGCTTTCTAGGGAAAGTTAACTTACAACAACCAAAGCTCATTTGAAATATGCATCTCTTTACATATCTTCTTCCTTACAGGAGTAAATCAGGAATTCGAGAAAACTTATCTATGCCTTGCAAGTCATCCTTAAAAACTGACATTGCTGAGCTATGTCATGACTGGAAAGTCGTGTTGTTACTTGGAAAGGAGGCGGGGGACAGGAGAATCCCCAAGGTCTGTGATGAAGTGTTAGCAGACAAGGACGCCATTGGATCTTGCTGCAAGTGAATCTTTCACAAATGAGAAATGAACAGTCAATTCTAAATAAGATCTTCAACAACTTGCTGGCAGGTTAAGAGAACCAGATCAGATATTTGGAACAGAAGATGAGCCCTGATCAGTGCGCCCAAGACAGCTGGTGCTGAGCAGATACACACGGCCCGCTCTGAACACTGTCCCCTTGTGCTATGCCAGGGGCTATGCTGACAGCCATTTCCTGGCACAATTATTTTCTCTTTTCTTTAACGATTTTATTCATTTCTTTCTTAGAGGGGAAGGGAGGGAGAGAGAGAGGGACAGAAACATCAGTGTGTGGTGGCCTCTCATGTGCCCCTGCACTGGGGACCTGGCCTGCAACCCAGGCATGTGCCCTGACTGGGAATTGAACCAGCAACATTTTGGTTTGCAAGCCAGCACTCAGTCCACTGAGCTACCCCAGCCAGGGCCTGGCACATTTCTTTATCCTTCCTGACCTCCTCCGCCTGAGCCTCCCACCCCATACACACTGCTGTGAGGAAACAGAAAGTAGCTCCTTCTTATTAATACTTTTGGGACCCCCAGTAGTACTGAAATAGATGTAACATGTAAGTGTCTGATTCTGGACAGAGGTTTCTATCAGGTCTCTAAGCATTCCACAATTGATGGGCAAATTCTGGGCCAGTGCCACTGAAGCTCCCACACTCTTCCTTCGGACCTCTCACTGCACTCGGACAGTTTCAGAATTCAAAAGGCATAGGATCCTAATCCAACATGTGACGACCATACTGCATTTTGCAGTTTTTAAGACATCACTGCATAGGGATAGAGACCTGGCCCCCAAGGCGTCAGTGTGGCATAGACAGTTCAGTAGAGCAGCTTCGGAGGTTCCAGGAAGAACTTTTTGTGTGTATATTTTCTTGATCTTTATGATACGAGGTCAAGCAGGACATAGTTTGTCCCTATAAAACAGGCAACTAATGACTTCCTACATACTATGTAATAAGGGACACCAAGACCGAATGCTTGTAAAATGAAGGACAGAGTGGAACAGTTACAATAATGCCAGAGACTTCCCAGAGAACTGATCCACACTCCTTTTGTCCCAGAGTTGTGTTACTGCTAAATTCGAAAATATTCAAATTCTACAACGCAATGCCATTAAAAAGCACATGTGTGAGCACACAAATAAAACGAGTCCCCTGGTCGTGCTTACTTGGAAGCCAATGGTTTGTAATTCGTTGTGGAGCCCATCTAGGACACGCCGCCCGTCAAAGATGAAGGCTGGCTTCAGCATTTTCTTGTGAATACGTTCATAATCTAATTCCTAGGAAGCCAGAACCAAAGGAACAATGAGAATTCACACCCCAGCACATACTGAGCCCTGACTTTAACAGAACGCCTCTAAAACTGCCCTTAACACCACTTCTGTCACCTCACCTTAAACATGTCCCACTCGGTGCAAATGACCACAGCATGGGCACCATCACATGCTTCATATGGATCCTTGGAAATGGTCACAAGTCTGGACACTGTAACAACAGCAAAAAAAAATGGCAACAGGAAAGGAGTTGTTGGAAATTGTGCACTAACGCGAGGGCTGCCGGGGGAGATGAGGGTCTGAAAGAGGAGGAGGGGTCTGGTGGAAGTGTGAGGGGGACGCTGGGGGCATGGAAGCCCCCCATGCCCGGAAGTATCTCCTGGGAACCTCTAAGCCTCTTTGGAATCTGAAGGGAAAATCATGACAGTTAACCCACAGCTCCTCGCTTCAAATCGGAGTTGACGAAACAAATACCTAAGGGTTTCGCTAGACACGAAATGGAAATGGGGCCTACCAACCATATAAATGATAGAAACGCAGCAAAGGTCCCCGTGAACAGACGAGCCCTGAGGCTCACACTCAGAGTGGTTCGTGGGACCCGACGCCTTACCTTGGTCATCCTCCGAGACGCCCGGATGAGACAGATCCACAACGATTTGTTCCCTTGGTACTTTCGGATCATATATGTGGAGGTGTGCACCCTCATCCATCAAATATTTGCTAATATATATACTAGAAGACTCTCTGAAGAAAAACAAAATCAGTATTCCTAAGCTTTTTAAATGGCATATATTCTAATGCTTTAGAGGTTTAATACATAGGTAAGATTCTATATCTTGTGAGGCTATGGATGTTCACTTTATTTTCATTATTTTTTAAAGGCTTTATTTATTTATTTTTAGAGAGAGGGGAAGGGAAAGAGAAAGAAAGGGAGAGAAACATCTGTGAGTGGTTGCCTCTCATGTGCCCCCTACCAGGGGACTTGGCCTGCAACCCAGGCATGTGTCCTGACTAGGAATCGAACCAGCGACCCTTTGGTTCGCAGCCCGCTGGTGTAGCTGAATCCACTGAAATCCACACTATTTTTATTCTTTACACTATATACATACAGGTATTTCAGGCATTCATCCACCAATCAAACATCTGAATAAGATAGGGAGTTAACAGTCTCTCAAAGGGGTTGAAATATGTCAGAGAACTGATACCTCGTATCGCCAGTGTCCTTTTTGAATGCAAACCCCAAAATAGCTATCTTCTTATCCGTCACTGTATTAAACAGACCATCGATGATCCGGGAAGCAAACCTCCTTCTCTGGTAGTCATTTATATCTATGACCTGAAATTACATGAACAGTTATGCAATGATTTGTGCCATACACTGCTTTAATGGGGAGTACTGCTGTGTGGATCCAAGCCTGACAAATTAACAGGAGACAAAGGTTAACTAACCTCTTTAGTACCTACAGATTAAAAAGCAAACAGAAGAAAACCCACTCCCCTCTCCTTAAAGGCATACTAAAATCTTTAATTTGCATTTGGATTATCTTTCCAGGCATCAGACTGGGATGGGTATGAAGATGGATACACAGCTAAGTGTCAGCCCATTTGAGGGCCAGCCTGAGTAAAGCACACAGAGAGCAGGGTTCTCCTTAGCTGACTGCTCCGGACCCTGGGGCAGCAAGACTGTAAGCAATCAAACCCCAAAGAGAGCGCTCCCATGTGCTTCCTCCACCCCTCACCACACTGAGTGTGAGCAGAATGTGGACAGAGGACAAACAGAATAGAGTCACAGCTGCCTCCAGATGAACCAAGACACCGTGAACATTTGGCCATTTTTAACTAAATATTGTGGGGAAAAGTCTCTGATCACCTATCTGTTACTCTCCTGTGAGTTTATAAACAAGACTTCATATTGGTGACCAGATGAATATAAGGAAAGAGACTGCTTTAGCGTGTGTGGGTTTTTTTTTTTTAAGGCTCTAAGCTTCTAGAAGCTGTATTTAAATCCTGAGAACTTGGGAAATGAGCCCCAAATGTTGGAAAAGCAAGCCTTTATCTGCATCTTTCCCACACAATGGGGAAAAACAAAGCCATCATGCTGCGTTGAGTATACATTTCCATGTTCAAAAATGTGCATTTCCTTATACTCCCACCCAGCACTGAAATTTGAAAAACTACAAACTTGGAGGGTTAATATTTGGGAGGGGTATGTGTACTGGCTGGTATCTTGGATAAATTACTTAACTTTCTAAGTTTCAAGTTCCTCATTATAAACAAGAAGTGATTTTAGTGATGGGGACTATAATGACTAAGCAAAGTACTTAAAAGAGAGCCTGGCACACAGTAAGCACTTAATAAATGTTAACTCTATTTCTAATTTGAGGTCTCTAATTTGAACTCTCTAAATCTTTCTCCCTCTCTCTTTTTTTTTAATCCTTACCCAAGAACATTCCTTCATTGCTTCTAACCAGGGAGGAGGAGAGAGAGGAAGGGAGAGAAACAACGACATGAGAGAGAAACATCAATGGGTAAGGTACCACCCAGATGGGGGATTGTACGTGCCTGGATCAAACCCTCAACCCAGGCATGTGCCCTGACAGGGAATCATACCCCAAAACATTTGGCTACAGGACATCACTCCAACCAACTGAGCCACATCCAGTCAGGGTAGCTCTGAGAATCTCAAAGGGACAATGCAAATACCAGCATATGTAAACCACTCGAAATCATTATAATACAGGTTCTCCCTTTATTCTGATTTTATGCCTTTCAAGATAAAGACTTATAATTTAGAGTAAGTTCTTGCTTTACTCTGGCAGCAAATTTAGTTACAAAATTAGAAGAGATAATGGTTTATCAGAAACTTTCACCACAGCTGATTAGCAAAAGACAAAAAACACAGAAACCCAATTAATAAATCTAAAATTAAAAAATTAAATATTAGGTGAGTTCCTGGAATAAATAAATCCTATCAAAAACATTTCACATATCCAGGGTGACATGTTTTAAATTAATCATAAGTTGTTGAATATGACGATTAATACCTGCTGCCAATAATGAGCTACTTCAGGCAAATTCAGAGCTTCACAGAGATAAACCAAATTCAGAACATCTTTTTGAAAGCAGCTCCCACCAAATCCTAAAGAGAGAAAAAAGGAAAATGACAACATTTTCACTGAAGAATCGTGACAAATTTCGGTCACACTAAATCAGAGGCTCTACGCTAGGATTTTTAATACTAAAATTCAAACACTGGAAAATTAGTGGATTTATAAATTGTGTGAAATTTGCAAGCAACTAATCAATTCTATATATAAAATCCAAATAATTTTGTAGCTAAAGTTTTATTATTGCTGTATTTTCTATTTTCTTCCCTCAGTCATCAGACATCACTGCCTTACATACCTAACTGTAGCACATGGCCAGCAAGCTTTTATGAGCCAGAAAGTAAATATTCTCATCATTGTGGGCCATGTAGTCTCTGGCATAACTCTTCAGCTCTGCCTTTGTAGCTCAAAAAATATCATAGCCAATATGTAAACAGCAGTCCATATCCTTAACCACTTGGCAACCTTGTCTGCTATGCCAATATGTAATCGAATGGCATGGCTATGTTCCCATAAAACTTTATTTACAAAAACAAGCTGTGGGCAGGATTTGGTCACAGGGCCGTATTTTGCCCACCCCTGTTCAAGTGCAATCCTACAGAGAGGGTTGGCATGGGCTCTGGAGTCAGAAACACCCAGCTGTATGACACTGTCATCAGCTGTATGACTTCGAGCACGTTGCAAAAATGTCCCTGGACCTCAAACATCGCTGTGAGCATTGATAATGAAATACACGAAGTGCTGGTTCAGAACCTGGTGCACACTGTGCCTTCCAGCAAACAGGAGCTATTTTTATTAAGTGGTAGCTAGAAGAAAATATCAAAAAGATAGAAAAGGCCAGGGAAACCAGTAGTGGAAATTCCATCACGTCCTAGAAAAATAGGAAGGGCTGGTAATGGCCCAATCTATAAAAGGCTCCATTTACTTTTACATCAACCTTATTAACTTAAATCCCAAAACACAGTCAGATCTCATTTTACCTGGTAGTTATATTCTATAAAGCTGCCTAATTGGCAAATACTGAAGCACGGCTGCCAGGTGAAATACAGGGTTAGGTTCCTGTGGGTTTCTGGTCACATTTTCATCAGCCAATCAAATAATCTTGCTTTATGTGTTTCTGTTCAGAGACCCCTTATTTAATACATATTGTCGATTCATTAACATTGAACTCGCAGACATCAGCACTACCACTCATGGAAGAATGAAGCGTAAACACATCTCCTTGGAGGCACACCACAGCACTCTAGCACTTCAGAACACTAGACAGCACTGCAGCAATATACTTGGAAATCATTTTAAACAGTGAAACCACCAACAAAGAGCATAAAAGTGAAAAAATCTTGGTACTCAACAGACCACAGAGGAGAGCACATGTTTGCAGTGTGAAGGTAAAACAGGAAAGCAAGAGCATTAATGGCCTTACTCAGCTTCAGCTGCAAGTGCATGTGTCAGCTGACTCAAATTTTCTGCTACTCTGCTCATGTCTGCAAAGCACCACAAAAACACCAGGAATACGGATTTTAGGGCTGCAAAGTAACTTTAGTAACTAAGCTAACTCACATATATGGAATCTGCAAACAATGAAGATCAGCAAGGCCACACTTCCAAAAGTTTATTAGTGAGAAAAGCAAATGACCGCAAATTTTTTACTACTTGCTTTGAGTATTACTTAAGTTATTTATTATGTGGTCTCTCAAACTTGTTCTTACTAAATACTAATTTATTCCTCCTAAAACACTGAACTGTGCTTATCCCACTAATCACACAGTAATTATTAAACAATGTAAGTAACCGGTACTTCATTTAAAAAGAACCTGATAAGATGAAAGCTACATGTATAATACAATAATTATTCTAAGTGCATTAAGTCAAACAAAGACTACCTTATATTTAGAGACCTAGCTAAATGATGCCACTGTATGTACTAAAAGTTTTCAGTTTACCAACACTGGCTTTCAGAAACTTATTTCCAATCCTCTGGTCCATTCCAATGGCCGTTGCCACCTCTTCTACATCAGCTCCTGTTGCTTCGCAGAGGGCACTTATAGAGTTAATGCTGCTGATTCTCTGGGCAAGAAAAGCATTCGCTGCCTTAAAAAATGAAAAGAAAAGAAAAACTATGATAAGCTAAAACAGCAATTTTATATATCTGGATTATATTTTATCAAGTTGATGCAAATTACTGAGGGAGATTTAAGTTACTGATGGGCTTGATTTGAGGAGGCAATAGATAGATTGATAAGGGAAAATAGTTAGAAACTAAAGGTGATTATGAAAGAGGGTAAAAGAAGGGAGAGAATTACTTTAAAAATTACTTTTTTATTCTACCCTCTTTTTTTTTTTTTACATTTTATTAAACTTTTAGACTTCCAGCCCTGATTGGTGTTGCTCAGTGGATTGAGTGCCAGCCTGTGAACCAAAGGGTCACTGGTTTGATTCCCAGTCAGGGCACATGCTTGGGTTGTGGGCCAGGCCCCCAGTAGGGGGCGCACAAGAAGCAACCACACATTGGTATTTCACAAACTCTCCCTCTTCCCCTTTCTCTAAAAATAAAATCTTTTTTAAAAAAGAATTTTCCATTGTATTTTATACATTAATATTTGATCCCCCTTGTGGAAAATGTTTATAACTATTTCATAATGTATAAGAATATTATCTTCCAAGCATACCCTTTGTTAATATTAAGAAAGTAGCCCTGGCTGGTGTAGCTCAGTGGACTGAGCATGGTCCTGCGAACCAAAGGATTGTGGTTCGATTCCCAGTCAGGGCACATGCCTGGGTTGCAGGCCAGTTCCCAGCAGGGGACACATGAGAGGCAACCATACATTGATGTTTCTCTCCCTCTCTCTCCTTCCCTTCCCCTCTAAAGATAAATAAATAAAAATCTTAAAAAAAAAAAAAAAAAGCTGCGTAACTTAACAGGTTTAAGAGAAACAAATCCTTGGCTTTAAACTTAATGGAGAGTTGAATGCTATGTACCAACCAGCTTGGAAAGTTCAGAAGACCAAGTGTTAGTGGTGAGGATCTTTTCTTTGGGCACCCAGTGCTCATACACAGCACACAGCGCCTGCACAGCTCTCTGGCCCTCTGGGGTCTCATCCCCTCCAATCAGTACTCTGTCTGGGTTCTTTAGGTCCTTGATAGCTGTTCCTTCCGCCAAGAACTCAGGGTTGGACAGAACCTAGAACCCCAATGCAAAGAGACTTTTAAACTAGAATTAATTATGGACAACTTCAAGACATCAATATTTACATAAGAAGAACCAGAACCTAATGCTTCCTTTTTTTAAATACCTGTAAATTCAAGTTGGGTTTTGTGTTTGCATCAAATATTTGACGAATGCTTTCTGCTGCCCTCACGGGAACCGTGCTTTTCTCAGTCACAATTTTATAGCCCTGTGAGTTTTGTACAATGCGTCTGGCACAAGCTTCAATATACTTCAGATCTGCTGCCCGGCCTTTCCCCATTCCGTAGGTTTTTGTTGGAGTGTTCACCTGGTGGAAGTATCCGGGATTAAGAACAGATTATCTTTGAGACACTCAATGATTTCAGGAGAGGCCCTGGACCATCACTTAGCTAGTCAAGTGGGAAGTTAACGATCATCAGTACAGCTGACTAATCTTCCATTAGTTCCTAAAAGAACAGTACATTTTGTAAATACAATCACCAGAAGGAATAGCTCAAAGCATCTGGAGAATTCACTCACTGAATTTTGGTTGAGAATCACTATACATGTGTCGGATACTAGGGCAGGCAAGATCCAAGCTAAGCCCTGGAGCTATAAAAATGAATGAAACAGTTCTTATTCTAAAGGAGTTCACAATCTGAGATGAAATGTAAATGTTTTCTTCTTTCCTCTCTGCATTGTATGTATTATCATGTTCTTTAAACTCCTTTTCACTCTCCATTATAGACCTATATTAATAGCTTTGAAAAATGTTTGCAGTATCATTCATAAATATTTCCTTGGCTCCTTAAAGCTAAGAATTATGTAGCATCTTCAGGATATATACTACTATGTAGACAAAAACTATCAAACAGACAGAAAACTGAATCATGAATCCCGAACCTAGGCATTTAGCTTTGGCTTAGCTATATTATACAACCTTGAGGAAGGGCCTCTGTTTTGCCTCAATGACCTCGTTGGAAAATGAGGATAACATATTCTCTAAAATCTAACATGTGAGTTTTATAATCCTCTAATAAAAATGAAAGTACTCTGAGAAGTTTAAAACTCTGTATGCAAGCAATTTTTGAACCAGTAGTAAGTAGCACCAATTCTCCTCTCTTGAAAAGCTTATAACTACTGAAGAACAAAATGAAAAAAATCAGGCCAAAATAAATAAAAACTTGAAGATTGAGTTGCAGTGTGAAGAAAGAGTTGTTTGCATGTGTGAAGCAACTTAGGAAAAGACTTAGTCATGGAGGTCAGGGTGCAGTGGAGTACACAGGGGCAATGAGGGCAAGGACAAGGTGAGGTGCGTCAGAGGTTCGAGGTGATAACACGGCTTCCTCTGGTGAAGGAGCTCTGACGGTAACAACTGAAAACCGACTGGCAGAAAACTACTCCTATCTGGAATTTCCTGAAAAATAATCTGGGGTGGGAAAGAAGTAGTAAATGAAACTTGATCAGCCATTATAACTTGACAATGGAGAATGAGCACTATAAATAGGCTTCATCATTATTACTCTCTTCATCTTTTGTACAAGTTTGATATTTTCCATAATGAAAAGTATACAACAAGCAAACTGAAAAAACTGACCCAGAGGATAATGGGAACTGGATGTGTTACATAGCAATAAGTACCCTAACAGGCATATAAAGTAACCAGAAAAATTCAGGGCCGCGCAGGTTAGACCAGCTGAGAGGCATATGTAAAATCAGCTGTCAGACCACCCTACAGTGGACTCTACTGCTTGAGAATGAATTATTTTTTAAAATATTTTTACAGAAAATTCTCTTGTTGCCATTCCAGGCTCTGGTTATCCAAACTAAGATAACCAGGAATACCTTATTCTAAGAGTCCAAGTTAACACCAAGTATCTAGTTACTGCAAAATATTTTCTCTGCCTCTCCCCTAATCTTCTGCAGGCTTTAGTAGAGGATGGGTAGATGCATCACACAGGCTGCCCCAATTTCTCTGAAGTAATCAAAAAAGCCAAAAAGAGAGACTGGCTTCATTACTACATTCTTCTGCAGTTCAAAGTTCACCAGTCAGAAAACAACCCCTTTTGAATAACTTAAAGTCATTAACAACATGCGTACAGGGGAGGTGGACCTAAGGATATTATTGCTTCCTTTATCTCATGGGACGGGTCAAAGCTCACACAACTGGCTTTCCCATTTATTTCTCAGGCACTAAAGGTCTAAATTAGGTCTTAAGTCATATACATCCTAGCTCAGCTACAATAACTATACCCTCACACACAGAATATGTGAGTAGACAGTTACCAGGACAGCAAGAAATAAGTCACCTTGGTTCAAATATTGTATTACCAGAGTTCACCTCCAAGCACTGCATTTTTTTTTTCATTACAAAGGTATAACAGTTTAACCGTATTGTGAGCTCAAGGTGTCTGCAGAGTAGCCTGACAATCTAACCAGCAGATGCCAAATTGTACGCAATTAATCTAAAATGAGTTTTGGAACATAATTCAACTACATAGGCGATGCCTGTAAGTGTGCAAACAAACTTTACCCACCTCTCTTTACTTGACCTCTATCAACCAGAAGAAAAAAGAAATGATGAAATAAATACACCAGTACTACATGTGCTCACAGATTACCAGCACCTCCTATTCCAGATCTCAGACCAGAACTTTCTCTGAATGTACTTGTTTAATGATGTGAAATGACATATTTGACCGAATGATTATAGGGTTTGGTGAAGTGTTAGACAAAGTCACTGACAACCAAAATTCAACTAGACAATGCTACTCTAAGTAATGCTGTGGCTCAATACAATGGATTTACTATCGGAATAGAATGAAACTTCTGTCTAGACAAGAATACATGAAAACTCACACAGCAAAGGAAAATACTTACAGAAATAAATACGAGATCGGCTTCTTTAATGGCATCATCAATATTGGTAGAAAAGAATAGATTTTTTCCTCGACAGGCTTCTACCACTTCTTTTAGTCCTGGCTAAAAAGAAAAAAAGAAAAGGAACTGTACGTACTGTTTACCAGTCCGATGAGATAACCTAACAGTACAGCATTACATGTGAGAAAGCAGAAGTTTATATTAGAAGTTAAAGGTCTAGATTTCCTCTCAAATATCTTTGTAGAAAAATCAAAGATCAAACACCAAAGGCCATAAGTGTACATTATATAACATTACGAAATAAAGAGATTAAATGTACCACAATTGAAGCAGTAGGTCATTTTAATGCTTTGTCATTGTTTACTGTGGGCCTGCCTGTTTCATAAGAGATAATAGTTAACTTGAGTATCAGCACAATTATCAGCAAACCCAATGTCTTCGTGATTTCAAGCGAACATTTGATTTCACATTATTCTTTAGCCCCCAAGAATTTAGGCCAAACAACTTGTTGTGAAACAGTCAATATTTATACATACATAAACATATTTTTTCTAAGTCCTATTGTAAGAAACACTTTGTTAAGAAATTGATTTTTAGAGAGAGAGAAACACTGATTTGTTGTTCCACTTATTTATGCATTCCTTGGTTGGTTCTTGCATGTGCCCTGACTCAGGAGGTTGAAACCACAACCTTGGACTTGGGCTGTTGAAACCACAACCTTGGCATATCTGGACTGCTCTCTAACCAGCCAGGGCAAGAGGCACTTCTAATGAAAACTGTTACTTTTCCCATACAATTTATCAGGAGAGATACTAATGTTAAGAATATTAAGCTGTGTTAACACCATCTAACAGGTATTCCTGTGCCTCTCCACCCTCAAAAAAAAAATCAGGCCTAAACTGATAAGACCAGTCCAATCAGCAAAATCCAGACTGAAAATTTCTGCAGGATGAACAACTTTGGTTTCTTCAACAAACTAAAGAAAGAAATGGAGAAAGACTAAAATATTCTGGCCTTAAAAGATACTTAAATGATATAAATCTGTTGTGATACATGGATCTTACTTGGATCCTGATACAAATGAACTATTGGAGGGAGGACACATATCAGAATTCTGATATTAAGAAACTGTTTAAAATTTTAGCAGGGATAATGGTGATGTGCTTAGGTTTAAAAACAATGATTATTTTTAGAGACACATAATGTGAGGCTCACGGATGAAATCATAAGTGATCAGGATGGTTGCAGTGGGAGGGGGACTGACCCAGGTTGGTAAACTGTTGAAACAGATGAGGGGCCCATGGGGATTCATTCTCCTAATCTCTGTGCTTTTATTACATTTGAAATTTTCCATGATGAAAAGAAAAACAAAACAAAAACAAAAACCTAAATCACTGTAACTCACTTTTCTTGGGGGAGAAGTTCAAACAATGCCCACAATCTTATGGTTGTTCACATAACTATCCATGTATATAGCAAAGTGAAAAGCCACTTCAGGGGCTACAGGTTTAGAATTATATCCAGAGGCAATTCACTTTTCCTTGTGATTCTGAGGTCTCTGAACATAAGCAATCAGGGGAAGTATAAAATATAAATTCAATTTCCATTACTTTGACTAAAATATTTACCAGGACCAGCAAAATATATGAACCACTAAAACCATGAATATAATGTCATCAGTCATAGAAACCATTTCCTTTTTATAACCCAGTCAAAACATCTTTTGACTGGGTTATAAAAAATGAGACTACAGTGTTATGGGGTTTGGGGATTTTGCAGAGGAAATTTAATTTAGTCCTATACATAATCTTCTAATACTGTATTTAAATTAAAGTAACCTAAACTCAGAGCAATGCAGAATTTATACTAAGCTTCAATAAGACCTCAAAATTAACAACTACATTATTCTACTAAAACCAATGGAATATTTGTAATCTCTAAAAATTGTGCAGGAGCAATTAACAATATAGGTTCTACCTCTTACAAGATTCATTATGTAATTATCATAATTAGTATTTAGAATTTATATGATACTTTTAAAATTTATTTATTTATTTATTCTTAGAGAGAGTGGAAGGGAGGGAGAAAGAAAGGGAGAAAAACATCAATGTGTGGTTGCTTCTTACGCATTCCCATCTGGGGACCGGGCCCGCAACCCAGGCATGTGCCCTGACTGGAAATAGAACCAGCAACTCTTTGGTTCCCAGGGCGGCACTCAATTCACTGAGCCACACCAGCCAGGGCTATATGATACTTTTTATGGAAGAACTGAAGACCTGTCACAAGGTAAAATTATCTTTAACTTTACTCAGAAAAAGGAAAGCAAATTAGCAACGACGATTTAATAAATATGGTAACACAAACAAAATATTTTAACTGCTAAATATTAACAGTATCTACTATACTATCTTCTGAGTAAAAACTTAACTACCTCACTACCATATTTCTTTCTCATGGAATAAATAATGACTACTTTTTTATTAATATAGTTTTCACCCATTAAACATAAACCTACAAGATTAGAAAGAACCACAGTAAACATAAACTCATGCACCTTAGGTATACTTAGGAGGGTTTTTAATGTGGCCTCATAAATCTTTTTTACTTATCCTCTGTTCTGAGACTACAGACAGTTTACAATGGTTCCACTTAGAATTTTTTGACTTAACAATGATGCAAAAACGATATGCATTCAGTAGAAACTGTATTTCAAATTTTGAACATTGACCCTTTCCCAGGGTAGCAGTACACAGTACCATACTTCCTCAAATGATTCTGGCCAGCAGCAGTGATGATGAGAGATACTCTACAATATAATGTGTTGACGGCGTTTTTTGGATATCATGTTTATAAAACACTCAATCCTCCCCTCAATGTCCTTGACCATGGGTCCTTTATACTTCTTCCCTGACTTGACCCTTCTCCAGATGATTAGGTGTATTAGATGCATTTTTGACTTACAACAGGTCCAACTTACAATGGGTTTATCTGGACGTTACCCTATTCATAAGTCAAAAAGCAGTACAGAGCAGGTCATGTGTACTGCTCTAAACCTTTACTATTCACAAGTCCTTGACCCAACACTATCCTTTTTATCTTCATCAGAATATTTTATCTCTCAGTTCCAGACAGTTAAGATTACCAACATGTCAATCACCTTTATATCCTGTCTCCACTAACAAAACTGTCTATATCTCTTTTCATTCTTGTTTGCTTTCCTCCAGTCTCCAAGAAGAGGCTGTCAAGACCAATTCTGTATGAGTTTCAGGTGTACAGCAATAGTAAACAATGACATACTTTACAAAGTGCTCCCGTATCCCAATACTTTCAGTACCCACCTGGCACCAAACATAGTTAGTACAATATTACTGACTATATTCCTTATGCTTGTACTTTACATTCCTGGGACTACTTTGTAACTGCCAATTTGCACTTTTTAATCCCTTCACCTTTTCCACCCACTCCCCCAAGCCCTCTGCTCTCTGACAACAATCAGTCTGTTCCCTGTATGAGTCTGTTTCTATTTTGTGTATTCATTTATTTTGTTCTTTAAATTCCCCATATAATTGAAATCATATGGTTTTTATCTTTCTCTGACTTATTTCGCTTAACAGAATAACCTCTAGATCCAACCATACTGTTGCGAATGATAAAATTTCATTCTTTTTTATGGCAAGTAATGTCACTTGTAATATACATACATATATGTAGCATAGCTTTTTTATCCATTCATCTATGGACCAGCACTTGGACTGCTTCTCCATCTTGGCTGTTGTAAATAACATTGCAATGATCATGGGGGGTGCATATATTCTTTTAAATTAGTATTTTGGGTTCCTTCATATACTTACCCAGAAGAGAAATTAATGAATTGTAAAGCAATTCTGTTTTTAATTTTTATGAGGAACCTCTATTCTCTTTTCCAAAGTGGTTGCACTAATCTGCATTCTCATTAAGAGTGTGCAAAGGTTCCCTTCACATCTTCACCAACACTTGTTAGCTGATTTATTGACAACAGTCATTATAACCACTGTGGTTGCAGAAGATGCTTGATATGATTTTAATTTTCTTAAATTTACTGAAACTTGTTTACGTATATTTTATTGAATATACTATTAGTTTTCCTAAAATTTCCCCTTTTATCCCCCCTCTGCCCTGCACCCCACAAATGTCCAGCATTCCCCTTCTCTTAGTTCGTATCTGTGGGTTGCACATTTTTTTGAGTTCTCTGTTTCCTATACCATTTTTTACCTCTCCCTGTCCATTTTATACCTATCAATTATGCTTCTTCTCCCCTGTATCTCACCCCCCCCCATTCCTCCCTTCCCCTTCCCCACTGAAATCCCTCCATGTGGTGTCCATTCTTCTGATTCGGTTCCTGTTCAAGTTGTTTACTTAGTTTTTGTTTTTGTTGTTTTTCTTTTCTTTTAGGTTCATTTGTTGATAGTTGTGACTTTCTTGTCATTTTACTGTTCATATTTTTTATCTTCTTTTTCTTAGACTAAGTGCCTTTAGCGTTCATATAATGAAGGCTTGGTAATGATGAACTCCTTTACCATGACCTTATCTGGAAGCGTGTTACCTGCCCTTCCATTCTAAATGATAGCTTTGCTGGATAATCTTGGATGTAGGACCTTGCCTCTCATGACTTCAAATACTTCCTTCCAGCCCCTTCTTGTGTGCAGTTTGTTTTGAGAAATCAGCTGATAGTCTAATAGGAACTCCTTTGTAGATAACTGTCGTCTTTCCTCTTCTGCTTTTAGGATTCGCTCTTTATCTTAATCTTGGGTGACTTAATGATGATGTGTCTTGGTGTGTTCCTCTTTGGGTCCAACTTCTCTGGGACTCTCTGGGTTTCCTGAAAATGTTTTGTGTCCTAGTATGGGGTCTATTCTAGAAAATATTACATGTGCACCTGAAAAGAATGCATATTTTGCTGCTTTGGGATATAATGATCTGAAAATATCAATGAAATACATCAGGTCTAGTGTGTCATTTAAGGTGTATCCAGATTTTCTTTCTGAAAGTGGTATCCACTGATGTCAATGGAGTGTTAAAATACTCTATCATGGCCCTGGCCAGTGTGGCTCAGTTGGTTAGGC